AGCTCCCCACACGGAGCAGCCCATGCGGCGGTCGTCTCTTCCGTGGGTCCAGCGGCTACGTACAACAACATGTCGGCACCAGAGACCCCCTTTGTGTGGTGGTCAACGTCAATTGCGAACTGACTACAGAATCCTTGTGTAAAAATTGGCACCCTCACAGCTACATTGATGCGCTGAACAAGAAGACGATCGGCGTGCAGCTTGGTCGCTTCCGGAAGAAGAATGCGAGTAAGAAGATCCATTTTGGAACTCGTAAGAATATCTTCTTTCTTGCACCTCACAGTCTCCCCAGTGAAGTCCGGACGTATATCTCCCTCCTTAGTGCAGTACTTAGTGCTGCGCTTGAGATCCTCCGTAAAAATTTTAAACCGGATCGGTTCCCACTCAGGCGCGGCTGCGGTGTACGCCTGCCACGCGCTCTGTCCGCTCCTTGGCAACTCCTGCACCACCGCAATGGNATCGGTTCCCACTCAGGCGCGGCTGCGGTGTACGCCTGCCACGCGCTCTGTCCGCTCCTTGGCAACTCCTGCACCACCGCAATGGGAAGGCCCCCTTGCTTCGCAATAATCTTGTCATATGGGCATTGATATTGGGCGAGAACGGGGCAGACACCACCGTACCAGACACACAGCAGCACACAGAGTACGGCACCGCGCAGTGAATTGGACATCTTGCGATATCCCCCCCTCTCTCTATCTCTGTGTGTAAGTGTATGTGTCTCAGAGTGTGAATGTGTCTGTATGGTTTCTTTTCACTAGGGGATGTTCAGATGAATGAGAAACAAGAGGAAGTGGCATGTTGATCTCGTTTAGCAATAAGTGCGAGTGCGATTTGATTCAGAGGTTGTCGCCCCCCCCCCCCCCCCCCCCCCCCNCCCCCCCCCCCAGCTGTGGGGAATATGCAACAGCACCAGAGCTCCTCGGACCTCACCATTAAAGATGGGGGTCCGCCGTTCCTCGTACAAACACCACTGGGACCCTTGCGATGTGAAGCAGAGGAGGCAGGGAGGTCTTCAATAAAGTAACGTCCACCAGCTATTTTCACGCGCTGTGAGAACGGATAAATTCTTATCGTGCATTCATGGAAGTTGCTTCCCACCCAAGTCGCAAAACGTCTGAGGTAATGCCACAAATGCCATAAAGTGAATCACACAACGGCCTTCTATTATGCTGCGCTCCACTCCAGCAGCTGGAGCGGCATATTCGGCTGGGCACCACAGTCACCTGCGGCTGCTGGTCTCGCCGTGGCGCCAGTATGTGGGTTCTTCTTGTTGCCGCGCGATCGGCGCAGAGCCTCCGGCGTTGAGGTGTGAGGATGTGTGCCAAGCGCATGGAGAAAGCGGCACGCGTGTGGAGCACCGTACGCTCCAGGTGCCGTTGACGCCACTCGCTTTAGAGAGAGAACTACACACAGACATGCACACCTGCACCGCCGGGACCAAACTCCTCTCACCCACGCCCACGGTGCTTCTCATCGCAGTTGCGTTTGCGTCTCGGAGGGCATCTGCACGGTGATGCCGTCGAGTGCGTCGGTGAGCTGCACCTGGCAGGCGAGACGCGACGTCTTCGTGACGGCCGGCGCCAGGTCGAGCATGTCCATCTCGTCCTCCGACGGCTCGTCCAACTTCGCGTAGTCGTCCTCGCCGAGTATCACGTGGCAGGTGCTGCACGCGCACGTTCCATCGCACGCAGCCTCGATGTCGAGCCTCGCAGTGTCGCGAATGGCCTCCATGAGTGTGACACCGACGGGCGCGGTGAACACAACGGTCTTTCCCTCGGCTGTTGTGGCGTGAACGCGCACCTTTCCCGGCGTTGCCGCACCGCCCGCGACGGTGCTGCAGGACCGCAGCGGAGTTCGCCGGCACGGCGTGAAGGCGGGGAGGCAGCGGGGGTGAGGCGCGCCC